CATGAAAATACATGTATTTTATTTGACATCAGGAAGGGGGTCTGGGAGGATAAGTGGAATGATGTGGGGGAGGAATGAGGCACAAGCCCCCACTGGGGCAGACCAGGGAGACTCTTAGTTCTCCTCAGGGTAGAAACTCTCCCACAGGGCCTCCTGGATACTGACAACTCCCCAATGTACCTCGTGGATGGCAGCCTGCAGAAAGTGCAGCCAGGTTCAAAGCAACGCGTCCAAGAAAAGCACCAGAGTGCCTGGGGCAGCTCTGGCTCCATGTCGCAGAGTGCTGTGGTGTCCCGAGTGAGGGCAATCAAAGCACGCAGAGAAAAAATTTGCTGTCCCTCATCAAGGTAGATGATCAAGCAGGGAAACCTGAGAACAGGCTGTCCAGGGGGGTCCCTTTAAGCACAGACCTCAGATAGCCTCAGGAAGCAGCTCCACACAGTAAGTACTGACCTGGTGACCTGCCGGAACTGCTTCCGGCCAGCCTTAAATGTGATTCAGAGTCCACTCAGTGTGGACGTGCTATTTCAAATAGCAAAATGCTATTTCGAAATGCATTTTGTGTGTATTTCAAAATAACACTGTAGTGTAGACAGACCGTAAGTCTGAGCCTCACGAACCTGAGTTAGCTGGTCTGGGCTAGCTGTGGGTTTTTAAGTGCAGTGTAAACATACCTTTAGATTGTAAACAGAGGCACGGGAAACATTTGCATAGTAGGGGTGCTGAGAGCCATTGAATCAAACTGAGAACCCTGTCTGTGATGGAAACCACTTCAAGCCTGCCGGTGCTACAGCCCCCCAGCATCCTTAGTTCCTGCGAGTCTAAACTCTTTGGGGAAGGGACCTTTCTACACGTGTTTGTGGGGACATGGTACAGAAATAACAATGACACAAAATCACTTGACCTAGGCTTGTCGCCTTGGATTCAAGCCCATTCAGGTAAAATGAATGTGATGTTTCATAATTAGTTATACAAGCAGCTCAGAAGGCAGCACCCTGAGCCACGTTCTCAGTTGGTGTAAACAGGCGCAGTTCTACCAGAGTCAAGGGAATGACTAGTGAGGAAGGATGGGTCAGTGGTTAGAGCCCTCGATGGAAACCTGCATTTACCGTCCCGCACTCCCACCTGCTCTCACTTCACTTAAGCCCAGAACCACAAAGGGATTTAAGGGCCTAAACCCTAATTTCACTCACTCCCTGACATCTTGCTCAGCTGCTACCTAGCCTTGTATGCACCTAAACTTCTGCCTGGGCTTGTGCACTATGCCTGGCTGTTGGCATCCAGGTGCTTATCTCATACCTAAGACCTAGGGGCATCCTCAGCCCAGCGGAAACTAGGAATTGCCCAGCCTATCCCACCTATAGGCATCTCAGAGCTCACTTACCAGCTTGGGCCCATTCAAGATACAGTGGCAGGTAGAAAAGGTGACATCTCCCTTAGAATTTTATTTTTTTTATCCTACTGGTTACATTATTTACCTGGGAATCTGTATTTAATGCTCCCTCTGCTTTCTGGGAAGCAAAGTTCTGAATAGGTGTCTCCCACCTTGTAGGAGCGTGCTCTAACTACTGACCTGTGGGCCACTCTGTGATGGGACTCCTCCAGTCTCCCCTGCTGAAATTGTTTCCCTCTGGACTAATACTCATAGACTGATTAGAGCAAGGAGACTGGAGGCAGGGTCACCCACCTCCCAGGTGACTGCACCACCCACCATGCTACAGAGACTTCCAGTCTCTTTCTCTAGGACTATCTGAGTATTTATACAAAACGGAATGGCTTCAACAGCAGAGACAGAGGGGGCACTGCTTCAGATTATCCGCTAGCCTGAGGGATAGGGCATGTTCCTGAGAGGTGGGAGATACCCACTTGTAAAAGGGGATAGCAGGAGTTCCCTATCTTGCAGCGGTAATGTAAGGAGATACTCATCAAAGACTGGGAGGCCTTCAGCTACTATGGTATTGAGGGGCCAAATGAGTACCTTAGATAGAGTCTTGCAGGGACTGCAGTGCAGCAATGTTGATTCATACCAGCAGAACTGGCCTAGTATACTTTCCCTGTTCTGTTTAGTTCATTATACTGTGGAAACCACGGGCAGCCTCTGATACCTGAACTTTATTAAGTCACTAGAAGTCTTCCTGCCCGGCATTGTCCTGGCTGCTGTCTTCTCCCCAGGGGCGGTAGTGGGGGCACGGAGGTCCCCAGCCAGTGCTGCCTGGGGCTGGCCCAGGGGCAGAGGGGCTGTGTGGTGGTTAGAAGTTTCTCCCCAGGGCAGGCCAGAGTTTTGGGTGCTGCCGTCCAGCAGCTTGTCTCTGGGATGCTTGCTTCCTTTCTGTGTTCACTCCACTGTTCTACCTACTAGATCCCTCCATGTCCATTTGATGAGAAACAATCGAATTCCAAGCACATCCCATTGTCCTGGCCCAACCAAACCATGACCTTGCTTTAAGTTAGGATAAGAGGAAGCTGCCTACCATATGTGGTGGTCCTTGCTCTTATCCTTTAGGACGAGCTCTTGAACAGATAGCTTCACAAACAGACAGACAGACAGACACACACACACACATTTCTAAAATAGATAGATTTTCATGGATAGGCAATAGATGAGCAAATCATCCATACTGGGCTACATCTTGCCATTTCTTCAGGGATCATGGAAGTCCCTGATCCCCTGGAGCCAGTGAAGTTTCCCTGTGGAAATTAGGGGGCAGAACTGGGGAACCTGCACAGCTACAGACCCCTTTTATAGGTCATGGAATTTAATTCTGTGCAACTAAATTGCATTGGAAGGTGAAAGTTTGGGGCAAAGCAGAGGCAAACTTAGAGGGAGCAGACTGGTGAATCTATTGTCTTTGTAATTCCCTGGATCATACCCCCACATTGCAGAGAGCAGCAGTTGCAGAGGCTTCTTCAGGGACATTTGCAGAGTAGGTCCACTGCCAGTGTGTGTGACTTCAAAAGGATTTTTTCCCCTCCCTCAACTCTATGTAAAAGCCCACTGTACATCCTGGCCTCTCAAGCTGCATGCTGCAGACAGGACTTGGACCATTAAGGGCTAGATTGTACCACTATGCACAGCCATGAGCAAGGAAAGGTGCATAAATTGTATCATTCCATTACTAATCCAAAAGTAATTGTACCTTGGAGACACTCGTCTGAGACAGTTCCCTCCCTGCTTCTCCCTTCCTCAAGAGAGTAGTGGTTTATTGCTGAGCTATACCAGTAGGAAATTACCACCTTTTTTTTTGCACTGGCCCTGGCTCTGCTGTGCTGGCCTACTTTTTGGGAGCTGGAGTCAAGGCTTCACCTATTTCCCAGGAATCAGGCCTGGATACACAGACAAAAGGGCAGTCTAGCTCAATGTAAATATTCTGGGCCTTGTACATTAGTTAGCTTTTTTTTCTACAAAGCTCCCAGTGGCTTTGTGGGTTATGAATGCTGGGAAACTGTAGAAACAAATATTACATACATTTGAAAATGTAATGGGCTAGCTCTGAGTAACAACTGGCTAAAATTCTCTTTACATTATATTTATTTTTGTCTACTTTATAGATTTTAGTTTGAGATACCTGAGACGGTTATTGGAAGTGTCTGCTTTTATGGGAAGAAGCTAAACAAATGTCTGGACCTGTACGTTTCTGATGGGAGAAATAAACTTTCCAAGGTAGTTATATTTATTTCTCTTGGAGCTAGTTTTTTTTGTGTACTGAAAGTTCTCCCAACTTCCTTTGTCACCTAATTCTTTATTTGTGCCTAGCTAGCTGTGCAGTTTTAGTTGGCATTGTTTAATAGGAATATATGTCATAATTCAAACAAATAGCTTACTCTCTCTCTGCCATCAAAAATTGAACTCCCTATATTTGTTTTTAGAAAACTTAGATCTCAGCTAATTAAGAATTTGGGCTTGTTACTTGCACATAATAAATACAAAAGATGAACAAGAAATTTAGAAGATTTATGAGAAGATCTGCCAAGAAATTTGAAATTATTTAGGCAGAGCACCATCAATTCACAAAAGTACTGTATTTACTAACTGGCTTTGACAACACTGTTTAACTTTGACTGCTTAGTGTGCCTATAACTGGCTCTGTTTCTAAAAGGTTCCCTTGTGTTTTGATGAAGCTTTAGTTTCAGGTAAATTGAAGCAGAAATGTTCCAATTTGTTTTGATGGGAGATTCCTCTTGAATCCTAAATTGAATTTTCTAATTTTCTTCTCTCATGAATATTTCCAGTCCAGCTTGGACTTTTTCCAGCATTCCCAGTCAAAACTTCAACTTTCTTACCTGTTCTCCTTCACTTGTTTTCTAGGTTGCTCGTTCTGAATGTCTGATGGCATCTCTAACACTCCTCATTCACTGTCCCCGTCTGCATCAATTTCCCACAGGCTGATATTTGCCTAATTAGGGATCCCAAATTCTTTCTTTCTTTCTTTCTTTCTTTCTTTCTTTCTTTCTTTCTTTCTTTCTTTCTTTCTTTCTTTCTTTCTTTCTTTCTTTCTTTCTTTCTTTCTTTCTTTCTTTCTTTCTTTCTTTCTTTCTTTCTTTCTTTCTTTCTTTCTTTCTTTCTTTCTTTCTTTCTTTCTTTCTTTCTTTCTTTCTTTCTTTCTTTCTTTCTTTCTTTCTTTCTTTCTTTCTTTCTTTCTTTCTTTCTTTCTTTCTTTCTTTCTTTCTTTCTTTCTTTCTTTCTTTCTTTCTTTCTTTCTTTCTTTCTTTCTTTCTTTCTTTCTTTCTTTCTTTCTTTCTTTCTTTCTTTCTTTCTTTCTTTCTTTCTTTCTTTCTTTCTTTCTTTCTTTCTTTCTTTCTTTCTTTCTTTCTTTCTTTCTTTCTTTCTTTCTTTCTTTCTTTCTTTCTTTCTTTCTTTCTTTCTTTCTTTCTTTCTTTCTTTCTTTCTTTCTTTCTTTCTTTCTTTCTTTCTTTCTTTCTTTCTTTCTTTCTTTCTTTCTTTCTTTCTTTCTCTGAAGTTTTAATTAAAATCAAGATAAATGTTTTGCCTTTCAAACTATAGGTAATGCATCAATAATAAATGATTACAGCCAAGGAATTTCCTGTCTACACATAATATCATTTCTGGAAAAGACCTATAGAAAATGATAATCTAATAGGCTAAGTCTACACTGCAGGATGTTTGTGCAAAAAGTCTTTTGCGGAAGAGTTCTTGTGCAAAAACTTATTGCGCAAAAGCACGTCCACACCTCTAAGTGCATTGCTTTTGCAATGCGCTTTTGCACAAGAGAGCGTCCACACTGCATTGACACTCTTGTGCAAGAAAGCTCTGATGGCCATTCACAGAATGGCCATCAGAGCACCTGTGCTTTTTCAGATAGGCTCTATTTGTGCAAGAAACCCCCGTGGAGCATCAATACATGCCTTTTTGTGCAACAGTTGTAGCACAAAAAGGAGTTATGCCTTATAAAAGTAGGTTTACCTACACTGGAAAAAGCCCTCTGTTCTGCCATTTTACTGCCGATTTACTTGTGCAAGAGTGCATTTGAGGTGTGGACGCTTTGCAGGTTTTTTTGCAAAAACCTTGCTGTGTAGATGTAGCCATAGGGTTTTTGAACAATCCTGTAGAATTTAACAGAGAATTATATCTGTGCAATAGAAAGTAATGAGCCGATTCTCTGTTATTTTGTATGGGTTTTTACAGTAATTTCTCTAATCTATAGGATATTTCCGTAAGGAATATATCTATTGGACCAATTTAGTAAAATGAGAGAGACAGAGGAGAAAGATCAAGAATAAGGCTTCTCAATAAAGCGGAGCGATGGTAGATTACTAATGGCATTTGTCACTTCAGAGAGGAAGTGGTCAGAACAGTGAGCAGGAGAAACAACAGCAGGTGACTCGCAGCACAGAAGATTGGTGTTACCTGATGCTTGGAAGGAGTTGAATCAGGTAGCATGGAGAGGAAGGTAGGAAGGTGAATCTTTGCTTATAACACCTCTGTGTCTTGGCCCACTGGGTAAGGCTACATTGTGACCCAGTGCAAGGAAGGAAGGAGGAGAAAAAAGCAGGCAGCATGCTTCACTGCTTCTGTCGAGAACATGAGCAGAGAATATTCTGTGAATGGGAGCAGTCGGCCCTCAGTGCTGCCTGGAGCAAAGCGCTGCCCTCCCCAGTCCTCAGAGCTGTGCAGAGCGTGTGGTGCGGCACTCTGACAGGGATTCCCAGCTGCTATCTCTGCTACTGAAGAAGCAGTGGTGGCTACGAGTCCTGGGGCCCTTTGAATTGTTGGGCCCTGTGGCAGTTGCTCCTCCCATCGGTGGGCCTGGTATTGGCTCAGAAATAAGTCTTGCAAATGTTTGGTGCTGTCTGGACAGAATGTAGTGCAAAGAGGAGGTGCCTTGGTGAGATAACAGCAGTTGTGAGAGCAAGCTAGAAAGTCTCTCTCTTTGGAGTAGATCCAGATCTCAGCTAGACTCATTCCATCCTGAAAACTGAAACATTTTTGGCTTGGTACAGACTCCTCAGCCCATTAATCTTAACTAAGAGAAAAGGGAGGCACTTTGAAAAAATACATTGAATAATTTAAATCTTACGGTTTGGAAACCATTTTCCCTATGTCATCAGAATGTCCCAGTTAGCTAACTTATAGATGTGAGGCTGAGAACAACTGCTGGCATAAAAGTGTAGCACACACTTTCTACTCTTAAATGTAGATAAAGCAAGAAATCAAGAGGCCTCTGTATGTAGACAGATACACAACACACACACACACAAGGAGAGGGAAGTCTGAACATGTAATTTTTTAAATAATAAAGTAATTCAGAGTAAAATACTTCCGATCAAAACCTATGACTATAGCAAATGTTTTGAATAATCTTGTGAGCTGACACAAATAATGAACATGTGTTTGCTTATGAAGTTTAGCCTTGGCTTTCTAAAAGGACTTCAGTTTGCTGAAGCTAGGAAACACAGTTAAAGTCATGGACAAGAATTACAAAAGTAAGAATTATAACTTCCCTCTTCCCCTAATGGAGTAGTTAATAGTATGCAGGTGGACAACCTGGCCGGTTGTCATTACTAAGTAACAAATTATGTAATAGACAGGCAGTGTTTTCTAGTGCATAGACAGGATCTCTCCATTGTTTCCTGTGACCTCAGCCTGTGTTTTGAAAAAAAAAAAAAAAAAGTCTGGTGTGATGGCTGGAAGAAAAAAAGCTTCAAAATGTGAAGTGAATGTAGCTAATGTAACAAGGCCTGCCTAAGTCTGCAGAGAACACTGGACATTACTTCTGAGGTGTGGTATGAACTACCCCATTCATTTCAATGTCTGCCAACCCAGATACCCACAAGAATGCTCTCATTTTTAACAGTTTCATGTAAGAAAGGAGGGGAAGAGCTACACTAGTGTTTCTCAAAGGTGCTGCAGGTAGAGTGAAGGGCTAGAGGGGATTAGGGAAGCTATCTAAATCAAGATGAGTAGGCTTTTAAGACCACACGCCAGGATTTCAGGGGAGTACTATTGGTTCCATTCTTCTGAAGCTGGGGAGGTAGGAATAGTGATAAGAATTGGGACGGGTTGGTTTAGAAGGAGCGAAGGAATTATTTATGAACTGCAGTGAGCCTACTCATCTTCTAACAGAACAAATAGCTTAGTAGCCATGTCTTGAACATGAACCGTCAAGGTAGTTTGAGAAAGAGCCAGAGACACACCCATATTTGTTTGTACTAAATTACAACTTCTATCCACTGCTTTTCTATGACTGCTTTGGGCCAGAACTTTGATACTTTGCCAATGATCTCAAATCTCCTATTTTCACTCTATGACCATGGTCACCAACAGGTCAATCGCGAGGCGTCCTGTCCGCCCCACCCCCATTTCCCTCCCACCCCTGAGAAGCCCACTACCTACCTCAAGTGAAAATGGAGGTACTGCAGGCTTCCCGGGGATGGACAGAAGTCCCGCAGCTTAGCGCCACTTCTGGCGATTCCAGAAGTAGTGCTAGCTGCTCTGCCGGGTGTACTGCGGGAGGGAGCATTGGCTCCCTGCACCGCACAGGAGGGGTGAGTCAGCCCCGGGGGAGGCGCGCGTGCAGGGCGGTCAGCCCTGGGGCAGGCACGCGCAGGGGGCTTCCCTGCGTGGGGTCGGCCCCGGGGCAGGCGTGCACGCGCGGGGCTTCCCTGCGCCGCGGGTGGGTCAGCCCCGGGGCAGGCACCCTCTGGTTTCCCTCTGGGGGTGGGGGAATCCTGGGAGGAGGCAGATACAGGGGACTCTCTGCCTCCACTGGCACCCCACTCCCCAGCCACAGAACTCTGTCCCCACTCCCCACGCTGGTTTCCCTCGTGGGGGGAGGGGGGGAGAATCCTGGGAGGAGGCAGATACAGGGGACTCTCTTTCTCCACTGGCACCCCACTCCCACTCCCACTCCCACTCCCCAGCCTCCACTCCCCAGCCACAGAACTCTGTCCCCACTCTCCTGTCCCCACTCCCCGGTCCCCAGCCACAGCATTCTCTGTCCCCAGCCACAGAATTCTGTCCCCACTCTCCTGTTCCCAGCTACAGAACTCTGTCCCTATTCCTGTCCCCACTGGCACCCTGTCCCTAGCTGCAGAACCCTGTCCCCACTGGCACTCTGTCCCTTACATGCAGAATCCTGTCCTCTGCCCTCCCAGCACCCTGTTCCCTCTTCCCTGTCCCCAGCCGCAGAACTCTGTCCCCAC